TAGGACCAACTGGCTAAATGCCAGATGGCCCAAAATACCCCAAACAAACACCTATATGACTACATATAGGAAATTCTCTACAACCTACCCCCTACTCTTTAACCCAAATCTAACTCTAATCCCACTAGTCCCCCACCCACCACACTCTAGGTCAGCACAACCCCACTGGTTCGTTAAACAACATGAAGTGAGAGACACAGGACAACCTGGATGGGCTGGCAGGGAATCGCCCCACATAATAGATCAGCAAGATGGCTAATGTAAAAGCAATTACATTAAATGTGACGGGGTTGGGAAACCCCATCAAAAGAAAATGCATCACTTCATACATAAATACCATGAAACCACACATCACCTTCCTACAAGAAATACACAACCCACCCAAAAGAAGCAAACTCCTGAAGGACCCTCGCTTCAGTCAACAATGGGTTGCACCTGACTCAGGGAAGGCCTGCAGAGTAGCTATAATACTCAGTAGAGACCTGAACTTCAACGCCACAACAGTCCTAAAGGACAAAAGAGGCAGATTCATTTTCGCTAAAGGGACATTAGATGGCAAAATTAAACTGACAATCGGCTCCATATATGCCCCAAACTCAAAACAACTAGGATTCTTCCAGAAGACACTAAACAAATTCCTCTCCTTCTCTGGGGAAGCAATTCTAGGAGGTGACCTCAACCTAAATATGAAAGGCATATCCCTGAAAAACATTCACCTTACAACCCCGTGGGCAACCTTCTTCCGAAGGAAACCCCCAACAACTAGGGACTCTTACAAATTACTAAAAATGTTTAAAAAATGGGGTCTCTATGACATTTGGGGTGAGCAAAACCCGGGAGACACCAGCCATGCATTCCAATCCAGACGCCATGGTACAGTGTCCAGTCTGGACAGCATTCTGCTCACGCAGGGTCTGATCCCCTCAATGGAATCAACAAACATAGGTAACATTAAAATCACAGATCACACCCCAGTAGAAGTCACTGTTAAAATAGGAGAAGGAACACAAACCACCCCATCATGGTCCTTCAGTCCCATCCTAACTACAAAGAAACAAATTAGAGAGAGTCTCACAAAAACTAGTTTTTACTTCAAGGAAAATGATGAAGACACTATAACAACCCACCTCTTATGGGATGCAATGAAAGCAGTCACCAGAGGAGCTTGCATAAAAGAGAAAGCATTCCTTAAAAAACAAACCTCCTCAAAAATTAGCAAAATAGAATAAGACATCACTGCCCTCTCATCACACTACAAACAGGATCCAAAAAACTCCAAGACAATAATGACCACTTACACCATAAAGAACTCATAACCCACCTACTTTCAGCAGCCAGAAACATCATAACCAGACACTGGAGAGACCTGTCAGGAGTAAGCATGGACCAATGGTACCAAATAGTATGGGAACAGCCTTACTAGAAAAATTAACCAATAAACTGAAACTGACACAGGGACAAATAGAAGAAGACGCCATCACCCTGGTATAGCTCCCCTTTATCACACACACAGCCCAACAAGACAATGACAAAAACCCACCAACAGCATACAAATCAATATGGCTAACCTGATCCAAAACACCCACCCACCCCACTCACCCATGAAAACAAAGACCACCACAGCCAACCACAAATGAACAACCACACCCTAGGCCAACCCCAACCCCTCTCACCACCAAAGGAACACAAGTGAACAGCAAAGAACCTGCACAAGCAAGGCTGACACCAAACCCTACATATAGTAAGTAAAATAGAAACATCGCCGCCCGACCCCCCCATCTCCCCCTCACCCCTTTCTCCCTTTTATTCCTAATGTCTCAATAAATGAAACCGATTTGTAAAAATGTTACATGGGGGAAAAATACAAGACATTTATTATCTTTAATAAAAATATATTTTTTAAAAAAATTCTCTGGTTGGTCTCTGTTGTTTTCTCCTACCGGAAGAGAACCTACAAAAGGACTCTATGGGCTCTTAGATACCCCATAAGGGAAAAGGAGCAGTTTTTTTCTTATAACATTGGCCCAACGGAGGAGGCCTCTCCATTGGGACATGCCAGACAAGTGGCCTTGGGGGATCTGCCAGGTTCTGCGCCAGGACAGGCGAAGAGGGCGAGGAGGGCAAGGCCCTCTCTGTCTCTGAGGCCAAAGGTGAATAACAATAATAAGGGCTTTTATCCCCTCCAAAGTGGAGGGTTCCCTCAGGGGAGTTTGACCTCTGGACCAGTTTCCTTTGTCACCCCAGGAGTCAGCGCTAGGAGAAGCGCCCCACCTGCAGGTCCAGGGGAAAGGAGGGCTCTTCCCCAGACAAGGCTGGAGGCTCCCCTTCTTGGCCCCTCGGGGTCCCAGGAGCCCTTTCTGGATGGCCCTTGCCTGCCACCCAAACGGGCTAAGACATCTGTTCCTCCTCCTCAGGCGGTAGTTCAGTCGCTCCCCTCTGGATCCCTGTGGGTCTCAGGGGGCCACTGGAGCCCAGTGGGGGGACTCTGGGGAACTGCCTGAACTGGGGTCCTCCCAGTCCAGCTCAGAAGAGGAAGCCATTGCAGAGAAGAACCGAACTTGTGCTGAGGGTCTACTGCCTTTCTGAAAAGGCTTCCTGGGAACTGCCATGGCCAGAGGAGGAGACAGGCCCCCCACCCTGAATCCCCTGCAGGGCCATTGGGAGCAACCAAAGCCATGGCTCAGCCTGCCTCAGTTTCCTTCCCCAAAGCCTTGGAGGAACCTTGGGGTGCGGAATGAGGAACCCCAAATGGAACTTAGGCTCCTGGCAAATGGGGAAAGGAACATGATATGGCACTTTCCAGATGAGCCGAGGAATCACCTCCAAGGTCCAGGGATTGATCCGCCCTGGCTTCCTCCTCGGAGGTCCCTTTAGAAGGAGAAGGGGTCCCAGGTCTCCATGGGGGAAATCGCCCTTGAGGCCTTCAAGGCAAATGCTTTTGCCTTTCAGGCTCCAGCCACCTTCTCCATGGTGTTTATGTGAGATGTAGAGATGGGATCACATGCAGACATTTCCAAGCTTAATAAGGATCCCTTGAAAAAGATGGCCTCTGCTTCGGCATGTTGTGCCCCGCCCCCCAGCCACCTGTAAACAAAACAGTAAAGAGTAAGAAAAACTAAAGTTTTAAAATGTATTGCTGATTCATTTTTTGAAAGTTTTAAATTGCTTCTACCAATAATTATATTCAACCTCATTATAAATCACTTTCAATTAAAAAATAAAAATCCTGTCATGTAGAAATTCAAAGAGGTTCCCAGAATGGAGGTTACCCACACAGAAAACCAAAAGGAAAAGGAGGAAGTCTCCAGGTGGAAAGATAGGCCTTTATTAAAACACAAATGTTCCTGCAAAGAACCACAAATGTGCCTTAAACACATTTCATTATTTCTTTAATCTCTTCTTCTATCTTAACTTTACTCTCCTTTCACTCTAATCATGTTCTGGATTCACTCAATATCTGTCAAAAGTTCTACTTTTTCCACATAGTGTCTTTTCTTTATTAAGACTTTGGCTAATATTCCTAATTAATAAACGTCTTCCAACGTCCTCTTTCATCCGTCTACAAAACAGTTCAAGATGAATCACAATTGCCATGCCTGGCTGATTCTCTTTTCATGCACACAAATCCCACTTTATTCTTTTCAGGGTTCTATAAAACAAACAAACATAAATCATAACCGTATTAAAAACTACACTTATTAACATTGTTAAGTGCCTTCCTCGCTTCCCCTTGGTTGAATTTCAATGCATATCCTTTTAAGGGTTTTCCAAATCACAGTTCTTATAAAGTTTAACTTGAACATTAACATCCTTAGATCTTTTCATTTTGAAATTACACCTAATTCATCACTTAACTTATATAAAATCCTAAGTCGATTAAGTATCTGCAAGCTGTTTCCAATTCATATAACTTGACATATTTAACTAAATAATCATTAAATTTAGTCCATTCTTCCTGATATTCCTCCTTCTTCTGGTTGCAGACCCGGTTAGGTTGGCTAGCTCTGAAAAACCCATCATCTTCAAGGATCACAGCAATCTTAATAGTTGCAGCCCAATGTCATCATCCTGAACTAACCAAAACCATTTGGCTCTTCAGATAAGCCCTCATCATATCATGTGACGACATATAACAATTTTTTTGTCTTTCTTTTTAAGACTTTGGCTAATATTCCTATTCACTAAATGTCTTCCAAAGTCCTCTTTCATCCATCTACAAAAGAGTTCAAGATGAATCACAATTGCCATGCCTGGCTGATTCTCTTTTCATGCACACAACTCCCACTTTATTCTTTTCAGGGTTCTGGAACAGACATTTGCTACATACAGTACCTAAAAGCAGCTCATTCTGTTCCATCAAATGTAGGCAGGCATAGGTCTTTTCAATTAAGCTAGGCCATAGGCTTAAATCGGAATCATCCAAATGCCGTTTTATGGAATTGTTATTTTCTACAACGTATACATGTTATGAAAGGGCTGTCACATGCAGGATTGAACAAGGCAGCTTCAAGTTACAAGGAGATTCCAGCTAAACCTCAGGAAATACTTTAGGACAGGAAGAGTTCTTCCAGAGTGAAACAGACTCCCTTGGTAGGTGCTGGACTCTCCTTCCATGGAGTTTTTAAAGCAGAGGTTGGATGACCATCTGTCTTGGACGAGATTCCTGACTTGCAGGGGGCAGGACCAGGTGACACCCAGGCTCTCTTCCTGTGGGATGTGAAACTTATAGCAGTCAAGTACAACGTTCCTACAGTGGACATGTTTGGGGATGTTTTCTACTACTCAGGAGAAAACTTCCTGTTTCCTCCTGAGCCGGGACAGACTTCCACTGCATGTGACTTGAAGTAGGTGAGGCCTATTCTAAGTAGAGGAGCACATGTCCTCCACGTTCTGCTCTTTTTCTCCATTTTGTCTTTCTATATGTTAGGAGAAGTGACAGCAACCAAATTCTGCCTTCAGGGATGCATCTGTGAACTGAATGAGTGAGTAAACTACTTTTATATTGACTTTAGCAAGATTGTGTTGTGTCTTTTTATGAGGGAGTAGAAGGGATCTTACCAGGAATCCTATATTTAAAGAGGCTTAAGCAAGCCTGCAACAAGCTAACCACCGTGCAAATTTAAAAAGGGGAATGTTTGGAACTCTGCTAAGTTATAGAACTGGCTAATGCAAGTTAGGAAGGATATTAGTAAACAATATATCCTTCTCCTGCCTCCCTAAACATCCCCACACTTCCGACTCTCCCATTCTACGATTCTGTGATGGAAACTTGAGTCAAATTGTTGCCACAGAAACTAGGGAGCTAAAGATGCTTTTCTGGCAGTGGGACAAAATGTCATGGCTAAAATCCTGAGAGGAGAAACCGGAAAATACTGGAAAACACTGGTTCCTTCCAGAAGGTTTTGTTCTTTTCTGCTGAGGCAGCTGGATTTATTATGATTTGCGTTTTGTTATCTCAAGGTCACACAGAGCCAGAAAGATAAATCTGTGAGCTCAGTGGGCTAGTTTCTCTTTCTTACTTTCATTTTCTAACTTTCACATCTGCGAAGTCTCCTGTAGCTTTTTTCTGTAACGAAGCTGAAAAACCTTTAGTAGAAAGTTCTTCTTTTGCCAATGAAATTTGCCTCTGCCTGATTTATGGAGAACCAGATGCATCCACTCCAAGCATCCACTCCAAACAAGCTTCTGCAGCTCTGCTCCCCATCCAGACATGGAGCGCCTTTACATTGAAGACCAAGACGGGTCCCAGAAAGAGAGACTGAGGTGAATGTGTGGGTCATAAGCTGGGAGTCGTTGGAAAGGAGTCGCTGGGAGTGGCAGAAGGTTCTGTTGAGCAGGTGAAGGAAGAACAGGAGGAGAGAGAAAGAGCTCCATGGAAAGACAAGGCTGCGTTGGGATGAGCTGGTGTGGGAATTATTGGCAGAGAAAAATGTACATCCAGCAAAAGGGGATGCAGTGCAACTCCTGAAACTGTTCATAACACAAGCTATGATCTCGTATGAGGAAAGGGATTTAATATGCATTCTTCCCCACCCCCAGTGGATTAGGAAAGAAGATTAGTAAAAGAAGAGGAAGCAGGATTGGATGAACATTGAAAGAGACAATAATTTTGGACTGTGACTTGACTGAGACTTGTTGGAACAGTTTTAATAAGGCTTTATAGAAACTGGACCTAAAAACTGGAGAAATACTAATTTGTATTATTAGATGATCATTATAAGAGTCATATTGCACTGTCTGAGTGGTTAAAATTTGAAGGCTGGGCTGGGGGGGTGGAATGTAGGGAAAGTGCCATCTTGCTGAAGGGGAGGAACAAGTCTGGATACTAAATACAGCTTTGGAAGGATGGTTTAAAAATTACAGCATGTACTACGATTAAGGAAAATGTTATGAAGATGTTATACAGATGGTATATAACACCTGTAAAATTGGGTAAAATGTATAAAGTTTGTAATAAATGTTGGAAATGTCAGGAGACAGTAGGAATATTTTACCATATGTGGTGGGAATGTAAGAAGGTGAAAAGTTTCTGGGAGATGATTTATAATGAGTTAAAGAAAATGTTGAAATATACATTTGTTAAAAAACCAGAAGCTTTTCTATTGGGATTATTGGGTAATGAAATTAGTAAAAAAGATGTGAAATTAGTTTTGTATGCAGTTACAGCAGCCAGAATTTTGCTGGCGCAGAAGTGGAAACAGGAAGAAATGCTCACGAGAGAAGAATGGAGAATGAAATTGATGGAATACGCAGAAATGAACAGGCTAACAGGGAGAATCAGGAATCAAAGAGACCAGAGATTCACCAAGGACTGGTAGAAATAAATACTGGATACTAAATACAGCTGGGTTTATCCTGGAGTGCATATTCTGAATAATTACTGCTATAGAGGAACGATCACTCAGGGTGGGAGATGGGGAGAAGGGGGGGCACCCAGGGGAGAGCTGGGGGAGCCTGCCTTTCTATGTGTTGACAAATGATATGATATATATGATACAAATGTGATAAAGGGTATTTTTAGTTATTATCCCCCGCCCTTTCTCTTTTCTATACAAATGTGTTTTGTAAGGGTTGTTCAATAATGTTTGTGTTATTATTTTTCCTTATTGGTTTCCCCTCTGTATGAATTCTTTGATGGGAAGTGAGACTCTGTCTGTGACTGAAGCTCTTCCCACATTTCAAGCATTGATATGGTTTCTCCCCTGTATGAGTTCTTTGATGGGTCATGAGATAGGAACTGTGACCAAAGCTCTTTCCACACTCATGGCATTGAAAAGGTTTCTCCCCTGTATGAATTCTTTGATGAAAAGTGAGAGTGGAACTGTGACGAAAGCTCTTTCCACACTCATGGCATTGAAAAGGTTTATCCCCTGTATGAATTCTTTGATGGGTAGTGAGATGGATCCCCTGGCTGAAGCTCTTTCCACATTCCAAACACTGATATGTTTTCTCCCCTGTATGAATTTTTTGATGGGAAGTGAGCTTGGCCCCCTCCCGGAAGCTCTTTCCACATTCAAAGCACTGATAGGGTTTCTCCCCCGTATGAACCTTTTGATGCGAAGCAAGACTCTGTCTGTAACGGAAGCTCTTTCCACATTCCAGGCATGGATATGGTTTCTCCCCTGTATGAATTCTGTGATGGGAAGTGAGCTGCACCCTCTCACTGAAGCTCTTTCCACATTCCAAGCACTGATAGGGTTTCTCCCCTGTATGGACTCTTTTATGCTTTGTGAGGTTGGTCCTCTCCCGGAAGCTCTTTCCACATTCCAAGCACTGATAGGGTTTCTCCCCTGTATGGACTCTTTGATGTAAAGTGAGGTCACCTCTCTGACGAAAGCTCTTTCCACATTCTAAGCACTGATAGGGTTTCTCCCCTGTATGTACTCTTTGATGTAAAGTGAGGTCACCTCTCTGACGAAAGCTCTTTCCGCATTCCAAGCACGGATAGGGTTTCTCCCCTGTATGAATTCTGTTATGGGAGGTGAGACTCTGTCTGTGACTGAAGCTCTTCCCACATTTCAAGCACTGATAGGATTTCTCCTGTGTATGAACTCTATGGTGCATAGTTAGATTGGAACTTTGACTGAAGGTCTTTCCGCATTCTAAGCACTGATAGGGTTTCTCCCCTGTATGAATTCCTTGATGGGAAGTGAGACTGGAACTGTGACGAAAGCTCTTTCCACATTCTAAGCACTGGTAGTGTTTCTCCCCTGTATGGACTCTTTGATGGGAAGTTAGATGAGAACTTTGACTGAAGCTCTTTCCGCATTCCAAGCATGGATAGGGTTTCTCCCCTGTATGAATTCTGTTATGGGAATTGAGACTCTGTCTCTGACTGAAGCTCTTCCCACATTTCAAGCACTGATAGGATTTCTCGCCTGTATGAACTCTATGATGGCTAGTTAGATTGGAACTGTGACGAAAGCTCTTTCCACATTCTAAGCACTGATAGGGTTTCTCCCCTGTATGAACTTTTTGATGCAAAGTAAGACTCTTCCTGTAACGGAAGCTCTTTCCACATTCCAGGCATGGATATGGTTTCTCCCCTGTATGAATTCTTTGATGCAAAGTGAGATGATGCTTTCGATTGAAGCTCTTTCCACATTTCAAGCATTGATAGGGTTTTTCCTTTGTATGAATTCTTTGATGGGAAGTGAGACTATCATTCCGATTGAAGCTCTTTCCACATTCCAAGCACTTATAGGGTTTCTCCCCTGTATGAATTCTTTGATGGGAAGTGAGACTGCAACTGTGACGAAAGCTCTTTCCACACTCATGGCATTGAAAAGGTTTGTCCCCTGTATGAATTCTTTGATGGGAAGTGAGACTCTGCCTGAGACTGAAGCTCTTCCCACATTCCAAGCACTGATAGCGTTTCACCCCTGTGTGAATTCTTTGATGGGTCTTGAGATGGCTGCTTTGACTGAAGTTTTTCCCACATTCACAGCACTGGTATGGTTTCTGACCTGTATGAATTCTTTGATGGGAAGTTAGATGTATCCCCTGGCTGAAGCTCTTTCCACACTCCTGGCATTGAAACGGTTTCTCCCCTGTATGAATTCTTTGATGGGTAGTGAGATGGATCGCCTGTCTGAAGCTCTTTCCACATTCCAAACACTGATGGGGTTTCTCCCCTGTATGAATTCTTTGATGGGAAGTGAGTTTCACCCTCTGACTGAAGTTCTTTCCGCATTCCAAGCACAGATAGGGTTTCTCCCCTGTATGAATTCTGTGATGGGAAGTGAGACCATCCTTCCGACTGAAGCTCTTTCCACATTCCAAGCACTGATACAATTTCTCTCCACTGTGAGTTCTTTCGTATGAAGTGAGGCTATCCCTCCAAATGAAGCTCTTTCTTTGATGGGAGGTGGACTGGGAGCTCTGATAGATGTTCTCTCCACACCCTGAATATTTAGTTGACTTCTCCGCTATGTGGATACTGTTGTGGTCCCCCTTGTTCTTCCCTTCCAATTGATCACCATCTGCAATGAAGAGAGAAGCTAATTAGAGCTTCGGGCAGAACAAAATTAATGAATGCTTGTGATAGAGGAAGAACTGAAAAGAGTTAGAAGTGTTTAGCCTGAATTAGGTCTTGAGTCACTTGAGCTACTAGTCTCAATGCCAGAGCTGACTTAGCAGTTGAGCCGCTCAAATATGGTCACAACACGTGGCTAATTAATATAGTAAATGTGTTATTATTAGTAGTAGATTGTCATCTAAAATTTACAAATCATAAACTTCAAAATAATATGTATATGGATATTCTGTCTAAAATAATTTGGTATGTATTCTTCATTTATTCTTTATTCATTATTTAATTTGCAGGTTGCTCAGTATTATTTTTGTTGTCATTCATTGTATGTATTCATTGTAATGTATTCAATTTCATCATCAGCTGACGAAGCTATACTGTCTTGGACATCATCCATTGAAAGGCGTCGTGGTGTTCCCCACCAGCAATCCATTACAATGACTACTTCTTGGTTATGGACTGATATATATATATATATTATTTTGAAGTTAATGATTTTAATATAATTACCTTGAAATATTAGAAGTGTTGCTGTTGTTTATGCTGTTAACGATACTCCAATATATTTCACTTTATTCTTTATCACCAATCCACTCACTCTCTGTAATTCATTTTTTGACTGTGCATCCATGCTTTTCACTAACACCTTAGGTTCCCCTCTATTTATTTTAAAACTTGCAGCATTTCCAAGCAGCCTTATTGCTTCTAATACACTACTAATCCGCCTCTTTCTTTCACATCTGTTAAAATTTTATTTTTTTATCTTTGGCTTTTTCCCATTCCAGACAAATCTTGATATTTATATTTATATTTTTGGATGTTATCCAAACTCCTAAATATTTTACTTTTTTTATATGCCTCTATCCCTGCCATCTCTGTGTGAAATATTGCTCAGGGTGAGGTGAAGGTCCTGTAGGCTTCTGTGGCACATCTCTGCTTCTTCAGACCTCTGAGCACAGCAGAGTAAACACAGCGAATTGGCCTTCTGCCCTCTGTGCTTGCATAGTGTGCATAAATGCCACTCAGCTTCTTTCTATTCTATTCCGTATAAGTTCCACTCAGCTTCTTTCTATTCTAGAAGCTTTATTTTTACAGCAGTATAAATCAGCCAGTGTCCAGCAGGAAAAATATCTCCAGCTCGGACAAAAACGAAAGCAGAATACAAAACAACGAAACAGATCCCGAATGTAGGATCTCTCCGCCCCTCAGAGGCAGGACGATGGAACTGAGCTGTTTAACCCTGTAAGCTCTGGTTCCCCTCACACCCCCTCTCGTCCTGCGCTGCTGGGGGGCTTGTAAGTACCACCACTTACCCCAAAAAACATATGTCCAGATGTTTGATTCTGGCCTTAAATTGCCCAGACTCTGCCAACTTCAGACAGGGTTGATTGTCCTCCCAAACAGTGCTGGGCAAGCAACATTCCCCGCAGATTTCTTGAACCAGACATCTGTAGAACTCCAGTTCCCGGCACAGCTCTTACAGTGCACTGAAGTCAGCTTCAGTAGAGGACAGCACAATGAGACTCTGCTTCTGGAACTTCCACCCAACTAGAGATTCCCCAAACTTTATGACCATCCCAGATATGGACTTCCTGTCATTCAGATTCGCCCAGTCGCTATCTGTTCAGCACGTGAGCTTGGCGCACCTATGCTGGTCACTGCCAGAATACAGAAAGGAGCTTACAAGGGTTTTCAACTGTAGCTTGACATTTCCAATTGTCCAAAAAGAACAAACACTGCAAGGCCCCCCCTTTTTTTCTTTCTCTTAACCTCTGGGACACTCCGTCCACCTAACGTTGTTTCCCACTCAGTCACAGAATCATAGAATCATAGAGTTGGAATAGACCACAAGGGCCATCGAGTCCAACCCCCTGCCAAGCAGGAAACACCATCAGAGCACTCCTGACATATGGTTGTCAAGCCTCTGCTTAAAGACCTCCAAAGAAGGAGACTCCACCACACTCCTTGGCAGCAAATTCCACTGTCGAACAGCTCTTACTGTCAGGAAGTTCTTCCTAATGTTTAGGTGGAATCTTCTTTCTTGTAGTTTGGATCCATTGCTCCGTGTCCGCTTCTCTGGAGCAGCAGAAAACAACCTTTCTCCCTCCTCTATATGACATCCTTTTATATATTTGAACATGGCTATCATATCACCCCTTAACCTCCTCTTCTCCAGGCTAAACATGCCCAGCTCCCTTAGCCGTTCCTCATAAGGCATCGTTTCCAGGCCTTTGACCATTTTGGTTGCTGTCCACCTTTCTCCGCGTCCTGTCAGTGGCCTAGACTTGCATCGCTAGGAACAGCACCTTACAAGGACCACACTTCGCTTCGTCAGTGGCTCTGAACCCCAACGTCTCATCCACTCAAGACATTCACTGGAGTGTCCCTATACACAAACACATACCAACATACAAACCCCCATACACACACAAACCCCATGCACCTCCCCAATCCCCTTTACCCACAAACTTCCCAAGACTGGTGGCACTTACTGCTCTTCTACCGGCAAACTCTGCTGGTTAAACCCAGCGGCACTTTGCTGCTCCTACTGGGCGGGGCTGATCAAACCCCTGACTCCCACAAAACAAGCTGTGGAGCCTACCTTTCCCCTGGGTACCCTTCTCCCATGCAGCTGCTGTCTTTCTTGCATCTCTGCTGCGTCTCCACTCAGGTACGGGGTGGGGGGCTCCCCCTAGAAAATGTAGGGTGCGCGCTTGGAGCCACCAACGCCAACCGAGCTGTTCGCTGAGCAGTGACGCCCCGGTCCTTCGTCCTGTCCTCAGAGAATGCGGATTCCCGGCCAATTCACCAAGAAATGTAGCCTTATTGGAGTTCACCGATTGGGTCTGCGTTGCTCCGGGACAGGAGGAAGGAAGTCAAAATGACACCGAGGTTGGTTCAAAGAAAGAGTTTATTCTGCTCTCCGGATAGCAGAAGGCACTTGCGTGATTAGTCCCCAGCAAGTCCAAAGAAATGACAGGTTTCATTCAGTTTATATATCCTCCAGGCACCCTCTCACTCCTCCCCTAGGAGCCCAACCACGTCGGCCTACCTACGCAGGTTGACATCACATATGTTCCTGCTCTGGTACTCTCAACCATAAAAGGATCTTCCTTCCTGTACTTCTGACCATAAAAGGATCTTTCTCTTCCTACTCTTATCTGGGAAGACGCCATAATCTCCGGGAACACGCTTTTGGCGTTTTCCCCGGACACTGGTCTTGTGTGTATGTTGTGGTCAGCACATAAGATAAAGTTCTGATGTGTCCTTATTATGGTTTTGCTCAACAGTTCAAGTTTTACGCATTTAAAAGCGCTCTCTTTTGAAAGAACAAAAGGGGGGTTGAGTCAGTTTTTAAACTTACTACACAGAAACCCATTCTTTCATCAGCACCCGCTTAATACCATTCCAGGCATTTGCACTGGGCTTTGTAGCTTCCCTGCTGAGCAGATTGGTAGCAAAAGCAACGTCTGGCCTGCTCTACTGGGACAGATACAAGATACAATAGACTACCCAGAGCTTACTGAAAGAGTTCAGCATTCTCGAACTTAGCACGTTCTGCTAGCCGACTGTCTTTCACGTAGCCTGTCTCGATGGGTGTCCTAACCCCTGCACAATCAGACATCCTGAATTTCTCAAGCAACTGCTCAATCTTGCCTTTCTGACTGAGCAAGAAACTTCCATCTTCAGACCACACTATCTGTTGTTGTTGTTTAGTCATTTAGTCATGTCCGACTCTTCTTGACCCCCTGGACCAGAGCACGCCAGGCACTCCTGTCTTCCACTGCCTCCCTGTTCGGGCAAACTCATGTTGGTAGCTTCGAGAACACTGTCCAACCATCTCATCCTCTGTCGTCCCCTTCTCCTTGTGCCCTCCATCTTTCCGAACATCAGGGTCTTTTCCAGGGAGTCTTCTCTTCTCATGAGGTGGCCAAAGTATTGGAGTCTCAGCTTCAGGATCTGTCCTTCCACTGAGCACTCAGGGCTGATTTCCTTAAAAATGGATAGGTTTGATCTTCTTGCAGTCCATGGGACTCTCGAGAGTCTTCTCCAGCACCGGAATTCAAAAGCATCAATTCTTCGGCTATTAGCTTTCTTTATGGTCCAGCTCTCACTTCCATACATCACTACTGGGAAAACAATAGCTTTAACTATACGGACCTTTGTTGGCAATGTCTATCTGTACACACAGGTAAATCTTTACTGCACCCAGGTTCTTGAGTTGGAAATGTTTTCCAAGCTCTTTGGCAAACTTCTGCACCTGTTTGTCTGCCCATGAAACATGAATGATCTCATCAACAAAGACCAAGACCAGTTCTTGTGACTCTTCTGACCCCTCGAGGTACAGGCAGCTGTCAGCAAGACTCTTCTTGAAACCTAACTTCTCTAAGGCTTCATTCCGACACAAGTCTCAATTCCTTGCTGATTGTTTCAGCCAGTAAATTGACTTGTGCAGTTTCCACACAGTTCCTGGCCCATTGCCCTCAAACCCTGGAGGAGGAAGCATGCACAGATCCTCCTGGAGGTCTGAGTTCAAATAGGCCACATCCACATCAAAATGATGCACTTGAAAACCTCTTTGTGCAGCAATGGCTAAGAGCATGCACAGAGTTTCCCTTTTGGAAGTGGGAGCATATACCTCAGTGTAATGCAGCCCCTTCCGCTGCATGAACCCTCTGGCTACTAGTCTAGCCTTGTACTGTGGTTCTCCAGTTGCTGT